CAGTGCTCGCCTGGGGTAGCACAGCTCTGTGCTGGCAGAGGCCAGGGCTGTGCCAAAAATACCAATCCTGGGCAAGCTGGTTCTGTGAGAACTGTCTTCAGAAACTGACAGTTTATTTTTAATTTATTAGTAAATTGCCTGAATGTTTTGCTCAAGTTTCTCAAGGAAAGGAAAGATGGCAAATCTGTGCTGCATGGTCATACCTAATATTTGTTTTGATAAATGGAACTGATATACCTGAGTAACTGGGTCCTTATCTAAAGAAATACTTTAATTTTGTTTTCACAAAACAGCATATTGCTATTCCTCACTGAGGTCCAGCATTAAACAGCGTCAGATCTGCATTGACTCCTGCAAAGAAACATGCAAGTGAGTACCTGAGCCTGATCTGGTTGCTGTGGAGGTGGAGGATCCTCCACTTTGACTCCCATCAGTCCTGACTGTCCTGAAAGGGCAGCAAACCCTGCAGGGCTGGTTTACTGTGGGAGAACTGAAGTTCCAGGGGCTTCAGAGGAGGGGAAATCTCCACACTAACGCTCTCCCTCTCCACTCCAGTGACACCCAGTACAAAATGACCATCTCCATGGCGGACTGGCCATCAGAAGCCTCTGAGGTAACCCCCATTCCTTGGCTTGTGACAGACTCTGGTGGCTGCTGTCCCCAGGCAGGGGCACTGGCTGTTCAGAGCTTTGCTGAAGTCCATGTTTCCCACATGCAGACCAGCAGCAGTACCAGGGCATGAGGCAGGGAGGGACCCCAGGGTGGCTCCTCCCTGCTGGGCTCTGCCCCGGTGCCAGCCCAAGGCTGAGCCCACCTTCCCCACCCACGCAGGACAGGGAAGGACCCCCTTCCCACCCTCTGCCCTGCTGAGGCAGAGCTGCCCTGCTCAGCCCCACGGTGTGCCCTCCAGCTGCACAGGGTGCCAGGGCTGCCTGGCACGGGGCACCGCACCCGCTGGGCTTGTTCTCTTCAGGAGCACAGGGTGTCTCTACTCTTTGTGAACAGATTTTGTTTCCCTAGGACTGGATTTTCCATATTCTGTCTTATGAAAGGGATATGTCAACAAATGTGACTCTGGACAGGTGAGTGAAAGGAACAACCACTCTATCTTCTCTGCTGAGCCTGTTAACATCAGCCTGACACGAGCCCTGGCTCCGGGCCAGCGCGCGGGTGCGGATGGCAGCGAGGACGAGGTTTGCAGCATTCACCTGGGACACACAAAAGGCAGATCCAAAAGGCACTTCGTGCATGTCCTCTGCTCTCCAGAGCTGCAAACTGGGCTAGTCAAACTCAAATGTGCAGCAAAGTAAAATCAGCCTTGAGGACAGTTCCAATGTCATTACATTTGTCACTCCATACTGATGTCTTGGTGTCTCTCTGTCCCACAGTCAGGCTGGAGCAGAGGTGCAGGCATTGACAGCCAGCTCCTCACTGAGGTGGATTTTGTTCTTTACAGGAATGGGATCATCAAGCTGAACATTTACTTCCAGGAGTACAACTACCGCACCATCTCGGAGTCAGCTGCCACCACGGTGAGTGCCCATCCCAGCCCTTCTGGAGGGCAGGCACAGGAGCCAGCAGCTGGGACGGGCAGGGCTCAGTGCCCTGGGGGACAGCCTGTCACGGCCCTCGAGGCTGCTTCTTGGCACGCCTGCTCAAATGCAGTGCATGAAGCCACCCCTGCCTGGTGGCTCAGAACCCTCAATTCCTTCCCCCACTCCGCCTCCCGTCCCTGTCCCAGCCCTGCAGGGCAACACCAGCACAGGAGAGGCCCCATCGGGCAGGTCCTGGTGCAGGGGCATCACCCACATCAGCACTGGCGCACGGGTGATGGATCGGGCTGGGGCACATCTGGGGGGCTCACTCTGCTCTCCTCCCACAGATTGTTTGGCTGCTGTCGAGCCTGGGAGGCCAGTTTGGGTTCTGGATGGGGGGCTCGGTGCTGTGCCTCATTGAGTTCGGGGAGATCATCATCGACTCGCTGTGGATCACCGTCATCAACGTCATCAGCTGGTGCAAGGGCCTGAAGCAGCGGCGGG